CAGCCCTTTAATCCCAGAAGACTGGGAGGCAGAAGCAAGAAGATCTCTACATTTGAGGCCTAGAATCAAGCTCCAGGACAGGGCTAGACAGGCGGGGAGGGGAGGAGGAGGACAAGAGGAAGGGAGGGAGGGAAGGAGGGAGATAGAGAACGCGCAAGCATTTACTTGACTTATGGTTTCATACGCTTATCATTCATAAGGTTGCAGGAGGAGAGGCAGCCCACTAGTGCCAGCCCCCACATGGGTCCCACAGAGACTCCAGGCTCTACACCCAGAGGTACCCTCTAATATCGTAACGATCATTTGGAATGTGTCCTATATCCTGCAGCCATTAGAAGTGTGGCCCTTGGGTGCAGGGCTACAACTGTCGGTGTTTTGCTAACCATCTTTGAAGTCTTGGGCCTTGGGATATCCTCCTTTTTCTATTTGGGCAAGGCATTGTAGGGACTGCAGGAGTGGGCCGAGGTCCCATCTGGGCAGTTGGCCTCAATCATATACAGCTTGCGTAGTTCTCCTGCCTAATGGTTAACCTTCTGATCTGTTGCTTTTGTGTCCGTCCCACAAATGGTCAGTCTTTCAACTTCAGCAACATTGCCAAGGCCCACTGTGAATTTCTTTCCTGGTCTTTCCCTTTTTCTCTCCATCTATCCTGCTCGTCACACACTAACGCCATCTCCCACTGCTTTAGGTTGTCTAGTCAGAGTTGTCCTGTTTGGTTCTGGTGTCACCAGTTCTGAGAACTTGGGGCAGAGCCCCAGCTGGTCATGCCTTTCTGACCTGTGCATGTCACCTCTTGCTCCTTCGTGACCTAAGCACTTCACCTAACCTTCGCGGCATGTCTCGGATGGAGGTTGGAGTCTTAGGTAACCAGGTGCGCAAACGCAGCTGCCCACTTCGGCCACACACCTAACGCTCTTGGCAGGGACCACAGTGCGGGCGGTGACCACAGGGAGGCAGCATAGTCTCGCAGGCCAGCCGCAGCCGTAGCAGCCCCCTCCCCAGCTTCCACTCCTTTCCCCCTAACTTCGCTTCAAGCTCCACAGGAAGAGCCGAGGTCATCAGAGGCTGGGGAGGTCCAGGTTGGGCAAGGCGCGTTCAAGATCCAGAAAGCCAGTCTTGCCAGCTCCACCCCGTCCCCGAGCCCCGTCCGTGTCCCTCCGTGCCGAAGCGGAACCCCGCCTGCTCGCGGGAGGTGACCGGAGATCTCTGCTCCTGTTTGGTCAGGACCAGGGTGTTCTCAGACTCTGCATGGGTCTCATCCAACCTCCTTGTCTTGGGGATGGCGGCAGTGTCGCTCGCAGCCCTGCACGCGTGTACCAGGAGTCCCGAGCCACTAAGAGAAGCGTCTGGAGGGCACAGGCAGGTCCACCTAAGGAGCTGCGGGTCCTAGGCCGTGACCTCGAGCAGACAACAGCTGGTCTCTGCCCTCACACGGAGCCCGGCAGTGGGTGCTTGGGCAGCCGGTGCGCCGGAGGGCGCCGCTCCCGGCCGCCTCGCCTGGCGCGCTCGCAGGAAAGGCCCCGCTGGCTTTGAATGGAAAGACTCTGCCTTTGTGAGTGCTTGCCCGCCCCACCCGCCGCCGTCCTCATTAGCATAGCAGCTGCTCGCCGAGCGAGGACCCGCTCAGGAGAGGGCAGAGGCCTCCGGAATGAATGGGGCCGCGGCTTTGGTGCGGGCGAGAGAAGAAAGACCGACAGACGGACGCGCAGGGGACTGTCGGAAGGACATCCAACCAGAAGAATGCGCCGCATGGGGGCGGAGCTGAGGCGGTGGGGGAGGGTGGCCTCTAGGGACCCTAGAGCCCCAGGAGAGTCTTGCCAAGGCCTCAGAAGGAGCAGTTGCTGAGGTTCCCAGACCTTCGACGGCCCCTCCTATGGTCTGAGCCCTTATAGAGAGGGCTTGGGCTTTGTTGCTTAGCAGTCCCAGGCACAAGGCCTCCTTTCCCTTCCTTCAAGGCCTGTGGATGTTGCCTCTTCCCTTCAGGCCTCAAGGGAGTACCAAGACACAGCTGGCTTTCCCAGGTCAAAGGGTAGCTGTTCCTTCATCTGTGGTGCACGCCCCCTCTGTCCATTCTTGTGATGAGCTTTAGGGACAGGCTGCCCCATAACCACTTCTCTTTTCCCTTTCTTGCCTGCTCTCCCTGTTGGCTCTTCCCAGTCCACTCTTACAAGTGAACGATATTTCTGCATTTCTGACAGTAAACGTTTTCTGTGTAATGGGTTAGATGGATGGATGGGAGCCAAGCACTCTCCTGAGAACAGGGTTCTTGACCTTCCCGTATTCTGTGTGTCTTCGGGGTTTCCCCAATGCTTCTTCTGGTGCCCAATCCTTCTCCAGGTCCTCTCAGTGGCTCTTGGGTTGTACCCTCACCTGGCAACAGGCACATCTGCAGCTCTGGAAGGCCAGGACAGAGGAGGACCTGGGTCATCTGTAACTTCTTTTCATCTGCCCTAACCTGGCCCAGTTTGGGGAGAGGATGGGAATTTACTGTAGACTCATCTAGCCAATATCACTGCCCACTCCACTGCAGTGGGCACTTTGTTGAGATGAAAGGACCACTGGCCACCATCTAGGGAAATGGGCACCAGAGATATGGCAACCTTGACCTGGTCACATCTAGGGAGCAGAGACTTATGTCTGCTCCCACTGCAAAAGCTACATGCTCTGTCATGGGAGTCATGCTGTGAACCACTCTGCCTGCAGAGCCCTCCTGAACCTGCCCCTGCTTGCACAGCACCCCCTCTGGAACGCTTTGCCTACAGCCCCCGTTAAGGCAAGATGGCTGGCTCTGTGCACTCGGTGGGCCTAACTGGCATTCTCACCATAGAGGTGCTGTGAGTGTTGGGCATGTGTCAGAGTGCCCGCCTCCAAATGCACTGTGAAGAGGCTTGAGCTGTCACTACAGCCAGACAGCATGGGATCCTCAGCATTTTTTTTTTTTTTTTTTTTTTTTTTTTTTTGTAGAGACAGGGTTTCTCTGTGTAGCCCTGCTGTCCTGGAACTTACTGTGTAGATCAGGCTGGCCCCAAACTCAAGAGATCTGCCTGCCTCTGCCTCCCCAGTGCTTGGATTAAAGGCCTGCGCCACCACACTCAGGTTTGCCATCTCTTCTTAGCTTCATTTCATTCATGACACACACAGTCTGTTGGACCCCTCCAGAGAGAACTTTGGGGAGTTGCAGGATTGCGGTTGGTAAGCGAATTCTTGGAAGCCCTGGAGCCTCTCTTAGGTGGGGGATTTTAAAGGTGCTGTAAAGGCAGTGATTCTTGCTAAGCTTTCCTCTCCTCACACTCCAAGTTAGTACTGTACAGTCTGGGGAGAGGGCGAGGACTAACGACTTAACTGCCACATCCTTCTAGCTGTGGGCAGTTTGCTGAGCTGGAAGAATAGTTGGCCACTGTACTCCAGAGAAATGGACATCAGCAACAGTACAACTTTGGGCTTGTCTCATTCCCATGAAAATAGTGTAGAGCAGAGGGAAGCCATGGCTATTCCTGGTGGGGACAGTTCCTGGGGCAGGACTTCCTGAGGAAGACCCATCCCTCTGCAGAGTATCACATCACAGTCTGCTCACTCTTGGGAGTTTAATAACCGTACTGTTGCCGAGGAGAAAATGTTAAGACCTCAGAAGCAGGAACCTGAGGGGTTTGTGTCAGGAGAACAGCCACTTACATCATGGCTTCTTTGGAGCTCCTCTGATGGCTGCTGCTCTTCTGGTCCTGTCAAGCACCTCCTCCCCTAAATCCCATTCAGGACTCCAGGAGTGGGTTGTCCATGTTCCTCCATTGCATCTTCTCAAATCACAGATATGGGAACCCTGGACCTAACCTAGATCTACTTTTTGGTGAATTTGGCCCTGGACTCTGGAAGCCCAAATCTCTAGAGGGAGGTGTTTTGCTTGCCCAGGAGCAACTGGAATGTTCTCCTAAATCTAATGAGACCCTCATCTGTGAAGTTCCTCCAGGGTTTCAACTCTCAGGCTGGGTAGAAGCAAGAAAGCTACAGCAGGTATTTCTCTGGGGGAGGTCTCAGCCACTCTGTTAATACTAGGAAGTAGCTGAGACAAGAGCTGCTAAAGTGGTATCTGGGTTCCCAAAGCCCCTGTGGTTGACTTGGACTTGACAGCTGAGCTAGGCTGAGTTCACATTTTACTCAGCTTGGTCTTTAGATTCACAAGCCCAGCAGCCAGCATCCACTGGTTGAAGACAGCAGGCTGTGGCTCAACCCTCATCCCCTTAGAGGGGAGCTTGTGGAATTAGTCTTAGACTTGTGCCAAAATTAAGAACCAGTATTTTTTTTTAATATAAAAAGACCAATGAAAAATTTATTTATAAATTTTTCACGATGGGCTACAAGTCTATATCGTACGCTCAGGAGTGTGCCACAGACTTCATACAGATAGACGAGACCAAACCAGGACCAACTTGAGGCTTCAACATAGGCCTAGGAAGTCTTAACATTAATTAACATAATTAAAAAGGCATTTGCATGTAGAAAAACCACAGCGAACTCCTTTTGAAGTAATCTGTCTTGTCTCAATGTCTGCCAGTTTCACGACATTATCACTATTCCTCCCACACTGGTTCATAAAAGCGCAGAAGACCAAAGAATATGGCTAGGCAGCACAAAGAGCGCCACCCACCTGTGTCCTCAAGTGCTCCCCATTTTTGCAAGCAGGGTCAGCAGCACTTCTACGAAGGGGAAACCTCATTTAAATTTGAATAATTCAGCCTCCCTTTTTATTTCCCAGGATGAAAACAAGAAGGGGTGTGGGGTTGCATAGAAAATTGGAACCACAGAAACCAGGAAGTCTCCTTTCAGGGACATCAAGTGACGCTCCAGCTCCTCCTCCAGTCCTGGTCCTTGGCACAGCCCCTCCCTCATGGCAGACCCTCAGATCACAATAGGGTCCTGGAGCCGGGTTTGAGGGTGGGGAGGGGGTTGGGGAAGGCAGAAAGGGCACAGCAGCCCCTCCATTCATTCACCAATAGCACGAGAGATTCACAGTCTTTATCGGAATTTTATAAAAATATAAATATGGGTACACAACAGCCTTGACAACGCTGGATACAACGCCCTTTAAAATTGGGTTCACAACCAAGATTCAAAAAAATACACCTAAAACTTGGCTTAAAATATGTTAATATTTTATATTCTGTCATAAATGTTATGACATTTAATTGTGGCAAATTCATTTACTTTTTTAAAAAAGTGTGCAACCGACTATTAACTATAATAGAAGTCACTAGGAAGGGTAACATGCTCTCAGAATCTCCACGTACTGGCCACACTGGCTTCAAAGTCTCTTTGGAACTTTGCTAAACCAGCCGGTGTGGGGAATGGTGGCCTCTCACAGAAGGGGGTCTCCCTTTGGAGACAGATCCTAGGCTCCCTAAACTCAGAATCCCGGGAGAGGAACAGAGGAATAAGGTGTGGAAGATTAGGGACTCAGTGGGGGAGGGGCTAGCAATGGGAAAACCATAGGGGTAGGTGGTATTTTCAGTGCAACCAAGAAATGGTAGACTCAAGTTTTTAGTTTTAAGGAAAAAAAAATCTTTCTCCCATAACCACGCACAATATTTCCAAACAAATAACTCAGGCTCACAAACTTCACCCACAAATATACACACACGTGATAAATAGTTGAGGACATCAGGAACCCGGAGCGTCCCTTTCCTAGTGCGAGGGCGCGCAGATGGTGGAGCCCGGTAGTGGTTGTTTGGCGGCCGCCAGCGGCGAGAGCCGCACTGCGGGCGGGCGAGTCTCACGGGCGGCTGGAGCGCGAGTCCGCCCGCGCCTTTCACCTTCCGGAGAAAACATTTCAAGCCGAGGATCCGGTATCTCGGGATTCCGAAGTCTCCCGGTGTGAGACTCAAATTTCAAAATGGACTGGAGCCTGCGCCCCGCCCCCACCCTCTAGGCAGTCGGGGGCCGTGGGAAGGCTCTGGGGCTCCGAGGGGCTCGGAGGACAGCTGAGGGGAGGCGCTCTCTTGCGGAGAACCGAACCCTGGGGGCCACGGACGCGCTGCTTTGGTCGTGGCTGCGGACGTAGAGACCTAGCCCGATTTCCACGCGGACCAGCAAACCTGGCGCACACCGAGGTAGTTGGCGGGAAGGTACAGCAGAGACAACGCGGGTGAGGGCCAGGGTCTGGGGTCGGAGTGGCTATCACCGGCCACTGGCCGCGTACTTGGCCTTGGTGATGAGATAGAGCACGATGTCCTGGTGGCCCCCGAAAGCGGCGATGTGCAGCGCGCTCCAGCCGTCGCGGTTGGCTAGGCGGATGTCGGCTCCGAACTTGACCAGCAGCTTCACCAGCTCCAGGTTGCCGTCGATGACTGACTGGTGTAGTGCTGTCTGACCCTCCGGCCCGAACGAGTTCACGTTGAATTCGCAGTTAGTCATGTTCTGCAGCAGCGACTGCAGCTCTTGCGTGTTGCCCTTGCGCACCGCTTCCTGGAAGATGCGCTGCGTCTGTGGCGCCGAGCAGGTGGACAGCTCGGCTTGGCTCATGCTGCCGCAGAGCTAGGGCCGCGGGCCGCGCCCCGGCTCAGCGCGGGCGGCGGCTGCAATGTGGGCCCCGGGCTCTCTCGGGGCGTGTCTGGAGGTACGCCTCGGCGCATGGAGGGCGCTGCGCCCTCGGGCCCCGCACGCCGCCCCTGCTCACTCCGGGCGCTCGGGGCCGAGGGCCGCTGGCGCGGGACCCCTGCTGCATCCAGCCGCGCCCAAGCGGGCGGACGACCGGGCTGGGTGCTGGTTCGCAGGAGCTGGGGCAGCCGGAGGCCGCGACACTCGCAGTCGTGGTGCCTTCGAGGTTAGGCTTCGCTCAAGCTGAACTCCACCCGCGTCCCTTTGCAAAACAGTTCTAATTCGCCCGCTGCTTCCCGGCGTCTTTTACGGTTCTTATATTTGCATAACAATGGACGTTTTTGACGCGCACACCAGGGCACTTTCGATTGGGTGGTGCCCACTTGGGGGCGGGGCGGAGGCGGGGTCGTGCGGCTGCTTCCTCCACGTTAGAGGGCGCTGCTCTCAGCCCGCACCAGACGGGGTGGTCAGGCGGCCTCGGGGGTTTTCCAGCACCGCTGCCGGATCCTGGGTCCGGTTGCTCCAGTGTATAACCTCCTTCCGCAGTTTTCTTCTTCCTTCATAGATGTCGGGAATTGCGAGTTCCTCGCGCAGCCACTCCCAGGACTGGACCTGGCGTTCACAGGTGGCAATTCCACGAACCGCTCGGTTGTGTAGTCCACCATCACTCTTGTCCTTTCTACTCAAGTGTAACTTCCCAGGGAGCTTGAGCAGCAATTGTGTTTGGCCCCTCTACACTGATGAAAGGAGCTCCATGCCCTAAGCCACCCCCAGTCAGTCTCTCTCTCCCTCTCTCTCCCTCCCTCTTTCCCCCTCTCCCTCTCTCCCCCTCCCCCCCCCTCTGTCTCTCTCTCACGGAGGCCAGTCTGTCACCACTCCTCCTTATGTGTTTCCCTTGTCAGCATGTAGGACACATAGTGCTGGCTTGTGAGACCCACAGCACTGCCCTCTGAGGGAGTTGTGAAATGACTCATTTCCAAACCATAAGTCCCACGTTTTATTGAGCACTCTTAACAGCTGACCAGGAGGCAGGAGGTGCTGGCGCTGGCTGGGGAGGCTCCACATTTCCTCATTATGTTTTACAGCTTACATCTTCGCTGTGGTTGCTGAAAATTAAGAGGAGGAATGATCTTAAGACTTGACAGAGCTGGAGGCAGGGCACGTCAGGGCTTGATTTCTTCTGAAGCTAACTGGGAATTCCAAGCAGGCAACTGTAAGCCTCAGCTGGGCAGACCACCCTGCCAGGCTCCATCTGGGGAAGCTCCTTTGGGTGGATGCTCCTGCCCCAGACTCAGAACTGTATCATATTCACCAGGGCATGCCCTCAACCTTACTGTGTGCTCTGGGAGGAACCATAGCTAAACTGAATGGAGAAAATAGGCAAATGCTCCTCCCCGTGACCATCTTTGGCCAGCTGCTGTCAGGCCAACTTGTTTAAGAGTCACACTCCCTTCTGGTAACCTGAGAATCTGAATCTCTCTGGTCTTCCTGAGATCCATAGTCTGTTGGGTTCTGCCCATTGGTCCCCTATCCACACCTTATGCCTCACTGTTCCAGCTCTTGAGAGGAACCTTATGGCTCTCTCTACTGTACAGGTAGATTGAAGTACAGTTGAGGATTCTGACTGATACCCTGATGCAGGCTGTCTCACAGAACACTAACCCAGAATAAGGTGGGCATGGAGAAAAGGGAGTTCTGCGAGCATAGGAGGACAGGATCTGCTTCCTGGTTGGCCCATGGTTTTAATGCATCTGCACAGGGCCTGGAGGCTTTAGACAGGCAGGAGTCAGAGACCACACCTTGGGGTGAGCAGAGTTCTTGCTTTCACCAAGCCCAGGGCTGTCCCTTGAAGGTGAATGGATCCCCTGATGGGCCCCTACCTAGGTGGGCTTCAGCCTGGCCTGAGGAAGGGCATCTGAGATGCTTGCCCAGAGCAGAGCCTGGGAGAAAAGTCCTGTTGACATCCGCAGCAGGCGGCAGACAAAGGGGCCCTGTGTGAGCTCAGTGTGGGAACGCTAGGCCGCACCACAGGGACTGTGAGAGCTGGAAGGCTCAGCTAGTTCTTACAGAATAGCATGGCTGGTGTGGCAGTCCTATGGTGGTAAATGCTTATCCTGAGGACATTTTGCCCTGTGTCAGGCTCAAAGGACAGACAGATGTGCCTGGTGTGCCACCACCTGTGCAGCTGAGATGAGCCAGATGACCAGCTTCCTGAAGGACTTCTTAGGTGATGGTTACGGGATCCCCTGCTGGCTCATGCTCCTTCACCATGGCTGTGCTCTGGCCCACACCCTTGCCTTCCTGTAGCTGTCTCAGATAAGGAGGGGCTTGGGGAAGGCCATGGGGCATTTGGTTTCTAGTAAGCACCACCCAAGTGTTTGCTGGGGGACACTTCCAAAAGGTGGACATTTGTTCCGTGCTAAGAGAGGGAGGGAGGGGCTCCCAGAGAGTCTCAGGGGACCTAGTATTAAGCTCCAGTGTTTGTGATGCTTGCTTGGGATCTAGGAGACCCCCTACTGGCTGTGATAGGGGACTCTGCCCTTTATTTCCTGCCAGGTCCTAAGGATGCTGCTCCAGGAGCATCCTGCCCACCATCTACTCATTCCTAGAAGGAAGCAGTGGGAAGGGCATCCTTCTCCCTCCAGATGCCCAGCTCCCTGTCTTGCTTAGGTGGGTGCTTAGCAGCCAGCAGCCCTGAAAGCAACACTGTAAAGGGGTAGCATGCACAGCGTTCTGGAATCTGTTGGGGAAATCTGGGTGGGGTAGTCCAGGCAATCTGAGAGGCCATAGGAGGACAGCACAGACAGGGCAGCTGGCCAAAGCTGGGCCAGGCCTGCAGCCACCTTAAAGGCGCTGAGAAGGGGAGGGAGGCCAGTGGGCAGTGGGGGGCGGGGCTTCCAGCTAATTCATTAAAATGTGTTGGGGAGCGTGGGAAAGAGGAGAGTGTTTCTTCCCAGCAGCCCAGACACCTGGTAGAAGAGAGAGGATAGGAATCAAATAACAAACACTGAGCTCCAGCCAGCCGGCAGAGCAGAGGAAGGAGGCCGGCAGGAACTGCAGCAGACAATTGCTGTGACCAGGCTCCTGCCCATGCCACTCAGCATGGCAAGCCAACACTGGATAGACACCATAGCTCCTCTGTTACCACTGTGACTATACCCAGTCCTCGAAGCAACCTGTCTATGCAGCAGAGAAAGCCATATTGCAACTAGTCTCTGTTTGGGGCTTGCTTCCAATGTCTGAGCCTGCATGGGGCAAACAGCCTCCAACCCCTTGAAATGGCAAGGGTGGAAGTGTTTCACTGAGTGAGCCCTATGCTGGGCATCAAGGAGGAGGCAAGGGCAAGGGAAACACATGGGACAGTGGGCATGGCTGTCCCAAGGATGGACCTAGGGGTAGGATTAAGGTGGATGGCGTGGTCAGGTCTTCTTCACCTTTGGTCCTGCAGCTGCCTAAGATGCAGCTGTGCTGGGAAGCAATTAAATGCTCCCTGATTTGTCCTTGTAATCCAGGAGTAGGGAAGAGTGTGTTCAGGAACTCTTCCAGTAGAGACACAGAGCTAGAGGTCTTCCTTCTGGAGGAAACTAGAGCTCCACCCCGGATGCCCGCAACACTAGGATGCTAAGCTCAGGCTCCAAGACTGCCCAGCAGGTTGGGTGGAAGGTCTGGATTAGAGGTGGCTCAGAGGCACACTGGGAGTTGCTACAGTCTCTGCCCATCTCTCCTGCCCAACTCTCCTCATTTATGAAGTGTCAGCTAGTTTGCTGTAGGCAGAATGGCCTGAGATGGAGGTCCCAGGCACATCTGGGCGAGTGGCATATCATGCATGGGCTGTAGGGTGGTCCCAGATTCCAAGGGCAGTGGGTAGACATGGTCCTAATACCACACACTTGGATCTGTAGGTATTCCCTGCACTAAGCAGAAATAATGCTCAGGACCTTGTTGCCTGAAGGCATCTGTTAGGTTTTTCAGCCAAATCTGAGCTGGTTTCCGCTTGAGGCAGGAAGCAAAGGAAAGGGATGTGAGCAAGGGGTGGAGGTGGCACATTCCTGGGGAGTGAGCAAGGAGGAGGCAGGCTACTAGAACACCAAGTGTGTTGGCTGCAGGCTGGCTGAATGCAGGAGCCTCCACCCTGGGTCTTCTCTTCCCTCCCTGCCCCCCACTTTCCCTTTGTTCCCATTGGCTTTCCTACCTCTGTGATCCCTGACATCAGCATTCTCAGATCCTCTAGGGTAGCTAGCTTTGCTTATAGGGGCCTCAGCTTCCTCAGAGAGCAGAGGCAGCATCATCTACTTTTGGGCAATTGTGACTAGGGAGGGGCCCATCATATGGGTGAGAGGCCTGCTGCATTAGTAGGTAGCCTGGTGCTTCCAGCCTCCCAGTAGGAGGCTGCTCTTCTCTCTCCCCAGAGAACCACCTTTGCCTGATCCTTAGGCCCTGATCCAGGGTGACGGAGAGCTTACAGGTCTCACCTGGATCCTGGGCCTAAGAATCCTGACCATCTAGAAATCCATTTGTCTTTGGAGTCTCTAACATCGTGAAGGCATGTGGCATAGGCATAGAGGGTAGATTAAGCAAATAGACAAGGCTACAGCCTGAATCACATAGGTCAAATGTTTTTCAGGTTTATTGTTTGGCTGTTTCTGGCTGCCTTGTCTTCAAAAAGGGCTACTGGTTGAGTTGGGGGCTTGGCTTGGCCCACAGCAGCTGGGGGCCTCTCCAGGACCTCAGGGAAGTGTGCGATTAGGAGGCCCAGGTGGGAACTATTCCAGAAAATCTTGCCACATTGCTAAAAACAGTAGAAATGTTGCAGCTAAGGCTTCTTTACCAGGCCAGATAGGACCCCTTCCAGCTGCAGTGGTGTGCCATTGGTCAGTGTAGCTGAAGTGTTGGCCTATATAGGTCCTCAGACTTTGCCCAGTCTCAAGGGGAACATAGGTGAAGCACTGTCCACACCTCCTCCTCTGGGGTCAGGTCTAGGCAGGGAGACAGAACTCGATTTCTGAGCTGGCTCCAGGCATCCACTAGCTGTGCCCAAGGTCGTGGTCCTTCTAGCAGCTTCTGTGGAACTCATCTGGTTCCATCTGAGTCCTTGCTCCTGGTGGCTTCATTGCCTATTAAAAGGTGATGGGGGCTCGAGAGATGGCTCAGTGGTTAAGAGCACTGACTGCTCTTCTGGAGGTCATGAGTTCAAATCCCAGAAAACACATGGTGGTTCACAACCACCCAGAATGAGATCTGATGCCCTCTTATGGGGTGTCTGAAGACAGCCACAGTGTATTTACATATTATAAATAAATAAAAACCTTTGGGCCAGAGCGAGCGGGGCCAGAACGAGAGGGAGAAGGGAAAGGAGGGAGGGGGAAAAAAAAAGATGCTAGAGCCTGATGGAAGTGGCATAAGGGGCAGAGACTCACCTGTGCCCAGAAGGCTACTGTGAGCTGAATCTGTTATTTTAGTGACTGGTTCACTGCCCTGCCCCCATCTCCCAAATGGAGAGTCCAAAGAGCAGAGGCTGAGAAGCCTTGGTGCTTCTGGGTTCCTCCCCAGGGAACTTAAACTTTGGGCCATTCTTAGGGCTCAAAGGTCCCTGGGAAACAAGTCCTGGGCATGAGATCTGCTGATTAGAGATCCAAGGGCCTGAGAACCAGTGGGTGGGGGTGGGGCAGACCTTTTGTAGTGATAAAGAGATAAGCCCACTGCCAAAGAGCCCATTTCGAAATCAGCCAGTACCAGGGTGGGGCCCCCAGGGCCTCAAAAATCGTTGGGGATGGTTTTTGCTGGCCTTTGCAGGTCCTGTCCAGACTGTGAGCAGAGGGCAGAGGGCAATGTCCAGCTGAGGGATTCCTGCAGGTCTGAGAGCAACTGAAGGGAGTCTGGGTGGCAGACTGAGGGGCAGCCTCTCGACTCCTGTGACCCCCTTAACTTGTTTGTCAAACATTTCTTTACAGAAGGTCCCAGATCAACTATAGGCAGGACATGAATGGGCACAGCGGCTCCCCACAAGGTGAAGTCTTAGGAGGCCATGACCTCTGTCTCGTTTACCTGCCCAGTCTATAGAGCTCTACGTTTACTCTGCAGATCTCTGTGACATCAGCTAATCGGGGTACTTACCCGCTTGCTAGGAAATGCAAGACGGAGGTCTCTGCATGAGGCTGCCTTCCAAGCTGCAACTTGTGAGACCTCAGCTGTTGGACACCAAGGAGGGAAAGTTTCACTCCGCCCACTCCCAGGCGACTTATGGAGAACTGAGGGCTGAAGTAAACAGACTGAAGTGTCCGTATACCTGCCCACTGCAATGAGAGACAGGCTCTATCCCCTGCACTTAAAGCGAATGACTGGGCCGCGTCACTGTGCTAGGCAGGTGGTAGTGTGCAAAGCATCCAGCAGTCTGCAGACCCACAGAAATAGAGGGGGTGGTTGACTTGACCCCCAAAGGGGTTCTGAGTGTTCCAGCAACCTAGTCTAGGGTCAACTACATGAGGAACAGGCCTCTGGGCCTCCACCCCTTACCATCCTTCTACATGCCACTACCAGGAAGTTCAGGGTTAGAGGGGGCCCTAGGTACCTCCCCAGCCACCTTTGAGATCCACCTCTGAAGGACCCCCAGCCTCCCCATCTGCTTCAGGGATGCCCTTACCTTTTCTGCTCCAGCCCTCCTGCCCACCACTGAGCTGTATCAATTGCCCCATCGACTCTCTGGAGACCTTAAGGTATCGGTCACTGTTACAGGCCTGGGCAGTCTAAAGGGTGTCAGAGTCATGCTTAGGACTTCCTTGCTATACCCCAACTGGAAACGCACATAGTTGTGAGTTTCCTCACCCATAAGCATGTGAAGGATGGTGTGTAAGGTGAGGGTTGTAGCTCGCTGCCCTATTTCCCATGCAGTTGACCCTGGAGACCAGGAAGCTGGGACACTTAGCACTCCTCTGTGGTTAAGTCAACAATCCCCTCTGTTTCTGTGGGTTGATTTACACACAGGCCTGTCACCATTTAAATTTAGGGCACAGGGCCTATGTACTGTCTGGTCCTCAGAAGCCCTTCTTTACGTTTGGTCTCTCTAGGCCATGAGTTGCCTATTCCATTTCCCAAGGCCTTTGCAACTACCTAGGTCACTTCCAGACCCAGAACCTTAGGGAAGAGCCAGGCCTGCACCCTCCTGGACAGCCAGGCTCATGTGTGAGATGAAGGATCACTGTGACCAGCTATAGGTTTCCCTGGATCCTCTGATCGGTCTATATTTTATAACATCTGGAATAGCTGCTAAAGCCACAGGGGTTTGCTGTGGCCCTGAAGTCCATGGTGGGCCAGGAATGAACCCCATTTTGGATCTTTTTGGGGACATTGGATATACAATGGTCCTCTAGGACATTTAATTAGGACTGATGAAGGCCTGTTAGGACTTCGTTGCTATACCTCAGCTCAAAACCTGTTAACCTGTGCCTGTTAACCTGACTGCTACCATTGACCAGGGCAAAGAAGGTCGGACTTAATCCCAGATGACCCTGCTCATGACCTCCAACTGGTTGCTACCTACACAAATAAATGAGTTTGAGTTTCAGGATAAGCTGGAGTGGGAGTCCTGGGCAGGCATGTATATGTCTATAGGAATATGTACTTCTGAGTGTCAGAGCAATTGAAAGGAGGTAGGGTCCCTGAGTCACAAAGGAGGGCTACAGGGAGGTGACTGGCAACTTGCTCTCTAGTGATCATGCTGTGTCCCCGCCCCTCTTGGGGGCTTTGGGTGAACCAGGCAGGTGTCCTGGAAGAACACATTTGCAGCCTCAGGGTGTGCCATGCTGGGCGGCACCTGCCCCACCCACACATCCTTTTCCCACGGGCCTTTCGACACCACAAGGTTGCATTACCTGTGGCTTAGCCACCACTTCAGCTCTGCAGCCCCCGCTGGCCAGGGGCCTGGGCTGGGGCTGGTAGAGGGCTAGGACCGGCCCTGCTTTTGCTCTAGCTCCCATCTTTCCTACCATGAAGCCCCGTACTCATGAGGGCACCTCCTTTGTCGCCATCATTTCACCTGTTCTCTGGGTACAGCTCTGAGTGCAGGGCCTTCCTTTCAGCAGGTGTGCACATAGAGAGCCGTGCATTGCCTGAAGCCACTGCCTAGGCTAGTTAGGGAAGGCTGGAAGATCGGTGGGCACCTGAGTCTCTACCAAGCGCCCAAGGCTACTTGGGCACATTACAAAGCCGAGGCTCCGTTCTGCTTTATAATGGCCTTCTGTAGGTGGGGCAACAGTATATAGTTCAGTAGTGTTAAAGGCTGCATGTCCTCTGTGTTTCGAGCCCTCCTAGGATCTAGCCGGGTGTGCAGTCTGGGTGAGGCAACTGGCTCATGCTGAGTCACCACCATGCAAACGCCTGGTGCTGTCCACAAGGACCTGGCCCCACCTTCGGGAACCATGAGTGCTGGTTTTCCCACGGCCTGTTGCCCGCTCTTGGGCCTTGCTGTCACCCTTGTGGGGCCCAGGGAACCCTGCCCCCGCCTGGTCTGGAAAAGCCAGTTCTGCACTGTTCACAGCACCCACCCTCCACCCTCAGGCTTGCAGCCCATAAGAGGATCAGCCACCAGGGCCATCATGGCCAAGTACACACTAGGTCATTAAGATAGTGACCATTCCTGAAGAATTTTGCCTAATGCCCAGTGCTCCTGGCACCTGGGGGCCCGGCAGCCTACTTTTTGCAGAGAGGAGGCTTGTACCAGCTGACTCTCTCAAACTGTCCAAGGCCCCACACCAAGATGCTTATACTGCTCTCCACTAGTGTGAAGCCAGGAGCCTCAACTTTGGGATGTCACTGGATCCTGCAGGGGTGTGGCTGGGGGTGCTAAGGCTGAGCAAAGGCCTGAACCTAGATCAGCACAGCTGTGTTGATGCCTAGTAGGCCAGCCTGGCAGGTAGGGAAGAACACCTAGAGAGTGTGGGAGGGCCTAGGTAAGTGGAGGCAGGAGAAGTTAGGAAGACTCCTGCTGCTTGGTCGCAGGGGTCCCCGTGTGTGCCTCATTCTCTTGGCATCTGTGAGGTACCAACAGTGCTCTGACACAGGATTCTTCTGCCTGTGAGTGTTGCTGGTAAGCTCTGAGCCCCATGGGAGAAGCTGCCTTATTGAGCTGGCCACCAGCTGGGTACTGGTGGGCTTATGAAGCTACAGCCAGATGTTAATTTGATTTTGCTCTTTGCACACCTGGGCAAGAATGAGGGAAAGAGCTCATTCAAGTGTGTCTCAAGATGGCAATCCTGGGAGGTGGACACTGATCCTTCAAGCAGTTACAGCTTCTCCTCTGGCCTCTAGGGTATGCAAAGAGAGGCCAACACACACAGGCCTACCCTATAGCTCCCTCTGGGGCGCCATCTGCCTGCTCCTCCAACTGAAGCAGAGATTTGTTGGGTGAGGATCTGTTTCCAGAATGCTAGGGTCGTACCGTGAGTGGGGCTACTGTTAGATGATGTCATAAGGGGTGATCACGGTGATGTCATAAGGGGTGATCATGGTGATGTCATAAGGGGCGATCACGGAGATATCATAAGGGGTGATCATGGTGATGTCACAAGGGATGATCATGGCTGAAAGGTCCAAAGCTGATCAGCTGTCATGGTCACAACAGCTATTCTTCACTGCCTCATGAGCATGTATGCCTGGGTGACCATTTGTCCTTATGTCTACTTGCTATATGGACCACAAGAAAGGACTGTGTGCCTACAGGTATGCTTGCCCTGTGTCCCCCAAAAGTGGACTGATGGCACACAGATATGGCAAGCATAGGGAGGAAACTCAAGAAAAGGCCCTAAGCCAGGGCAATGGGTACAGGAGCAGAGCTGGAAAGGCAGCTTTAGTTGGCTCTGCTCTTTTCCCCAGAGTTCACTGGGCCTTCCCTAGGCCAAAGGCGACAGAATGCAAACTTGAAGAGGCCATTAGCCTCTCAAATGTCCTCCAGCCCCAGGCATTCCTGAGGTCCTATGCCTATCAAGTTGGGGACTGAGGAAAGAGTGGGACATGAGCCCTAGTCCTTCAGAACCTGGATCCTGTAGGAGCCATGTGCCCTAAAGTGCAGGGCAGCAAGTGGTGGCCTGTCAGATGGGGAGCCTTTGCTAATGGGAACTGATCTCTGGGTGTAGGCAGAGGTGACCGGAGCTCGCCTCCCACAGGCAGGCCGCCCCAGGGATTCCCACAGCCTGCTCTCCCTGCACAGCAGGTACCTGGCACAGCTATGAGGTCCATGTTCCACCTCCCAGCTGGGGACAAGATGGGTGACCTGATGGCCTGTAAAGGGTTTCTCCCCAAGTCTAGGGGATAGGGTGAGGGACCCAGAAATTGGGGGAACTTCTTAGGGCCTCCTGCCTCTGAACAAAGGGACAGGTGCATACCAACTTGGCCAGACCTGATACCAGTGCTTCCCCTGCCAGCTGGTGAGTTTTCTGGGGATCTGATCAAGGCCTGTCTTCTCCTGTGCCCTACCTCCAGCTGGACCTAGGCCTCACAAAGGGGCTGGAAGATGTCCATCTGAGGGACATCCTGACCTGGGCATTCCCACTTATCCCCACTCCACCAGCAGGTCCAGACATAGGCTTGGCTCAAAAGCGCTCTCACTTCTAACCCTCACCCAGGAGCTATCTGGAACTCGGATACTGAGCACACGCTCCAGAGTGACAGGCCATTTCTGTCCATTTCTCACAACCTGGGAGGAGCAAAACATAAAGGAACGGAGAAGTGAACACATCACGCCCCACTGTCTGGCAGGAAATCAATAGCAGATGCAATACCTGGACACACCCGCCCTGGCAAGGGATCCAGCTTCTGGGCAAGGGGCATCTTCCTTCCCAGTCCCACAGGGTTGATTGTAGCCTTACTTGCCCCTCTGACATGTTCTTAGGGACTTTCTGGACAAATGGCCTGACACCTTCCTAGACAGGGCGGGACAGAGCCCAGGAAAAATCAGTGAGGTGCTAGCCTGCCATGGTCTGGATCTGGTTCACACCTCTCTTTCCCAGAGTATCCTGGGAACATTTTTGGGCCCTGAGCTGACTCAGGCCCTAATGTGATTGAGCGTCGCCTGCTCAGACTCTCTCAAGGGAAATAAATCGATTCTGAGCCACATGTGACAAACACACTTGGGAGCTTAACAACATGACTCTGATTTCTGCTGGCATCAGGCTGAGGAGAGGCAGAAGGGTCTGGGTCTCAGGACCCTGGGGATATGGAGAGGTCCGCTTATTTGTGTGAAGGATTTGTTTAAAGTCCAGTCATAATGCCATACTGTTCTTATGTGGTGAGCTATGCCCTCTACTGGGGGGCTCACACTCCTAGTGTGTTTGGAACCAGTGAAGATGGCAGCCCTTGGTAAGGGCTTTGCCCTCTGGCCCCTGCCCCACCCCCTGGCTAAGGAAGGGCAGTTCCCACGGGTCTGACCCCTCCCCCACCTTCCCCGCTGCCCAGTCCTTTTGTGCAACTGGGACAATGTCTCCACAGACAAGTGGGGGATGGGCTGTGGAGATGTGCCTGGGACTGTCTTCCTGGTGAGGGTCCCCTCAGGGGTCACAGACAGCTAGGCTCAGCTGGTACTTTGGTGCTCAGACTGTAGAGCTGTCAAGAAGAGAACACTGGGTGTGTATCCCAGGAAGGCAGGGTGAATGGGGTGAAGGTGAAGGTGCTTCAGAATCTCAAAAGAACCAGGGACCCAGGGTCACTTTTCCCTTTCTCTTAATGCTGAGATGGAAACTGGGGT